AGTGATAGCAATAGAAGAAAAAAAAATCCGATGAAACACGCAAATGACACATTTCCTTCCGTTTACCATTACTTCTTCCATTACCCTATCTTAATCTATATTCGGCGCTTCCACTCATCAACTTGTTTATTGTCCAATAATATGCTTCACATATCATAACGTGTTTCTTTAGATGATGTCATTTCAAATGATGCGTCATAAGGCAAATTACATGACGCGATTGGGCAAGTTACGCGTTACCAGAAGTGCGTAACAGTCTTCCAATTCATTAATACAATGGATCTCTAAATCGATGGTAATAATTATTATTAATTATTGAATATCATACGGTGATATTCTTAAAGAATGCATCATTCCTAAATGTCATTATCAGATCTTCCTCGCTAATATTGAGTCTAATAATAGTGCGAATGTCTATACTGTTACGATTGGTCTCGATTAACATCAGCGATGCTAATATAGAACAGATCTTTAATAAGTTATTCGCAGACAGTGTTTCGATATTGTGTAAGCGACACATTTGATTGTGTTGTACGATGACCTACAATAACGTAAGCAGAAATTTAGTATACAATGAATGACTAACACCCGTATTTGATGTTGTACGCGTGCTTGGCAATAGCTTTAGTTTGTCTATCAATATCTATACAAATACCTCGCCAAGTTCGACTTCAGCCAACCCTGTGACTCGTGTGCGTTGTAGTAATGACCATAAGAATATCTTCTGATGTATGGACGCATTACTAACGAATGCGATCGTCGGTGATGACGACATTTCCTTTACTACCTGCTCAATGATATTGATTGTCACTTGCGCATTAGATTTAGAGTGTTCCGGTAACGTCTTCTTGGATTCTATTATCTCGACAGCACGTCTACAAAACAGACAACATGCATTATGAATAGTCATCACGCAATTTACCATGCACGTAAACATCATGTAACTAATACTCACCTGCAGATCTCTAATGCTCTCCTTGCATCTCCAGATACAGCGCTAACCTTTCTTGCCGCATATTCAATTGCATCTTTATTGAATACACCCATACCTTTCAATCGAGATTGAACGACTATCATCAACTGCTGGAACGCGTATGGTTGGAAATTAACACGATTAAGACCTGGCAGAATTGACGAGTATGAGAATTATATAAGCAGTCAAATATTATTTCACAAATAACGTTGATAAGTTTCAATTCAGATAAACCTATAGTAGATTAGTCCCATACCCAATCTACTTGACACTCGGTTAGTCAATATTCTCTCGGGAAGATCCATCGTGTTGGCCACAGCGATTACTACTAGCCGCGAATTCGGTAAGCTCGGCCAATTGAATAAATTATACATAACTCTTTGATTTTTCGTCACTAACAAATCAAGTTCATCCATCATCAAAACACTTGAAGAGAATTAGTTGACAGGGTTTATGCATGTCTATCTAATCAATAATAGTAGAAAACATTTATTTACCACATTGATTCGTTCTCCTTGT